TCATCATCGGAGAATAAAACTTATATAATTATTGTTTTAGGTGGGTGCAAGTAAAACATTCGAACATTGGAAAATCTGTTACATTTTCAACTCAGCTAGTTTAACCTAAAAATTTTAATTTACTTTGAATTCCCAACATTTTTTACTTTAGTGGATAAAATGTATAATTTATGATATTTAGACAAATTTACCAAGTTGTAAATCTAGCTAGTGTTTAAGAATGGTGTCCAATTTTTTATTAACAAAAGAAATTCACATACATGTGAAAAATAGTTCACTTGTCTCTACAAAGACTACAAAAGTTAAAATTTGAGTCTAATTCTCATCATTCACGTGTAATCTTGTACTAGGTATGCATTTAACAAAAAATAAATGTTCCAATTTTTGTAAAGCATAATTTGGATTTTTAAATTAAATTAATCGAAAACGTTTGCTGCTTTGCTTCTGTTACCTAAGGAAACAGGAAAAGGTTAGTTCTAAAACTGAAAAGAATGCCTTTTTTCACTTTTCAATGTTCACTTTTTTCATCATTTAGGCAGTTTATTTATGAAAGAAAAAAATAACCTTTCATTTATTGCAATAGTTTAATGTTAATATTATAATGTTTTATTGTACAAAGATAATACAAAAAAAGAAGCGCATCAATAGATTCTTCCTGGTAAGATGTTTTCTAAATAAAAAAGTGTGTCTGCATTTAACAAAGCGCATGCACAGCAGAGCATTGTTACCCATAAGGCAGCTTAGGCAGCTGCCTAGGGCCAGGGCTTAGACAGATTGACTCCTGTCTGGGTCTGCATCTCCAGTTCTGTCACTGAGGGGGCCCTTCCTGAGGCTCTTTTCAATGACTCAGAGCTCCATAACCAGTACTCGGAGTAATTGAGTGCTGGAATATCGAGGGAGCTGTTAAAGTGATCTGCAGCTAATATCAGTGCAGACCTCAATGCTCCACCACCGAACCACCAGGCACCTTCTCCAGCTTACCCTCCACCAGAGCACTAAGGGTCCAGTCCAAAGTGCCCTCCACTGGACCACCAGGGATAATAGTCCCCTTCTGCCAAAAGGTAAGCAGGAGGGGTCAAAAGAACAACTGCCTCATACACTACACACACTAACCCCCATCAAGTTCTTTCTCAAAGGCCCAAACGAAACATCTATGTTGAATACTGCTACCAAAAGGTTTATGGAAAATCCAGTAATTATTACAATTATTATTCTTCATTTTCTGCCCCCTCTTATCTCTAATTATCTCTCCAGAGCCCCCATTATGTTTTTCAGACTCTCTCCCTCCACCAATTTTCTCTTCGCAATCCTCCTATTACTTCCCTCAGCCTGTACATTATCTCTATAGCTCTTTCATAGTGACCAAGTGTGCACTTGACTGGCATGATTATAGTAAAACAGAGGCAGGAATTACCACCAGCCAGTGAGTCTAACTCTGCACAGGAAAGAAAAGTGCTGATCGCTCAACCATGCTACAGGATTAACCCATGAGGAAATATTGATGGGTTGACTGCTTAGTGATTGGTTGTGGAAGACCTTAAATTTCAGCCAGCCAATTTACTTCTATTCAGGTTGTGTGCACAGCCTGCATATCAGCATATGTTACAAATCCCTGGTGTACAGGGCCCAAAGGGCAGCTGCTAAGGATCCCTACATAATACAGGGACTAAAGTATTGGCCCATTTTGCCCTTTGGTAAAGACAGCCCTTTTCTTGCCTCCAGCAAAGTGTTCAGCTGCTCCACATGTTTTGGAACACTTAGTGTTTATCTGCCACTAATGAAATGTGCTGCTAAATACAAGTCATTTTCCTAAATTGCTTTTTGTTAAAAAACCCTTTCATAAAGTTAATTCATCAAGTTAATTTCAGAACGTTAAATTGAGCTAACACAACTTTTAATTGTATAGGTATAAAATATTATTTGCTTGAAATCCTCATTGTATCTATGGTGTAAAAATCGAAATAGATTGGATTCTTTATTCAGGCCCTGTTGTCCTAAACAATTACATTTTGCATGTTTGTATGTGTATCTGTGTGTCTGTATGTGTATCTGTGTGTCTGTGTTTCTGTTTTTGTGCATCTTTCTATTTGTATGTGTGTCTGTATCTGTGTGTCTGTGTTTGTGTGTCCATTTGTGTATCTGTATGCCTATCTGTGTGACTGTATGTCTGTATGTGTATGTTTATCTGTGTCTGTATGTGTATCTGTGTGTCTGTATGCATGTGTGTCCGTATGCCTACCTGTGTATCTGTTTGTCTGTATGTTTATCTGTGTGTGTGGATTTGTCTGTATGTGTATCTGTGTGCTTGTATGTGTATCTGTGCGTGTAAATGTTTGTATGTGTCAGTGTGTGTATCCAAATGTGTATCATTCTGTGTGTCTGTGTATCTGCATGTGTGTCAGTGTAGTTGTATGTGTATTAGTGTGTATCTTTGCATCTGTATATGTATGTGTGTTATTGTGTCTCTGTGTATCTGCATGTGGGTCTGTATGTATCTGTATGTTTATGTTATTGTGTGTATCTGCATGTTTGTCAGTGTATTTGTCTGTTTATCTGTATGTGTGTCTGTATATCTGCATGTTTGTCAGTGAGTGAATGTGTGTAAATGTGTACCTGCATGTGTGTCTGTGTATGCACTTGTGTGTATATGTATCTGTCTTTGTATGTCTGTACCTGTGTATGTGTGTATCTCTATGTATGTCAGTGTCTGCATCTGTATGTGTGTTAGTGTGTGTATTTTGTCTCAGTAAAAATGAGTGTGGCTAAGTGTGTTTTTATTTGGGGGTTTTTTGTATTGTTTTTTTTTGTGTGGGGTCGGAGTGCACGATTAAAGATGGCCCTGACGTCAAGCAGACAGCAATGGCTTCCAATGGACAGTTGGTTTCTGCAAACTCTAACAGCAGAAGCATCTTTTCTATCTCACTCATAGACACACTTGGTATAATGAGTCTGAGGGACAGGATGTAATGTGAGATCACTTCCTCCCATCACTCAGACTAACTGTGCTCAGCGGGGCTTTTATGAAAGCTGTCTCTCCTTATCGAACAGGAAAAATATAGCTTGAATCCTTACTGGAGTAGAAAAACAGACAAAAGAAATAGCTTGTGGATACAGTTTGTTTCTTTAAAATAATTTTCTTATTTTACTGTGTTGGCTAGTGTCACGGCACCCCACCTGATGAGAATATCAGAGGCATTTTCCTATGCGCTTAGTATACTTACACAAACGCCGTCTCCATGCGAGTGCTCCTCCTTCTGTCATTCTGTCCAAAGAGAGCTGCTGCATATCAAAGCCTTTTTATGGCTCTGCCTCTTTAGACCAGGTTGATGACATGGATTTGCATACGTCATCACTAGTGATGTCCCGGACGGTTCGCTGGCGAATAGTTCCTGGCGAACAACGCTTGTTCGCGTTCGCCACGGACGGCGAACATATGCGCTGTTCGGTCCGCCCCTATTCGTCATCATTGAGTAAACTTTGACCCTGTACCTCACAGTCAGCAGACACATTCCAGCCAATCAGCAGCAGACACTCCCTCCCACCTCCTGGACAGCATCCATTTTACATTTATTGTGAAGCTGCATTCTTAGTGAGAGGAGGGACAGTGTAGCTGCTGATGATTTGATAGGGAAATTGATAGCTAGGCTAGTGTATTCAGTGTCCACTACAGTCCTGAAGGACTCATCTGATCTCTCTGACCTCACTACCCCCCACACCACCCTCAGCCTCACTACCCCCACCACCACCCTCAGCATCACCACCCTCAGAATCACCCCCCCACCACACTCAGCATCACCCCCACCACCCTCAGCATCACCACCCCCAACCACCCTCAGTCTCACTACCACCCACAGCCTCACCCCTCCACCCACAGCCTCACCCCTTCCACCCACAGCCTCACTACCCCCCACCACCCTCAGCATCACTACCCCCAACCACCCTCAGCATCACCACCCCCCACCCTCACACCCCACCACCCTCAGCATCAACCCCCCCTCACCATCACCCCCTCCTTCTCACATCACCCCTCCTCACATTACCCCCCACACCATCACCTCCCTGTCACCATCACCTCCCTGTCAACATCACCCACCTCTCACCATCACCTGCCTCTCACCATCACCCGCCTCTCCTTCTCACCATCACCCCCCCATACACACAACACACTTCAAGCAGCTACCCCATACACATAGGGTCTCAGACAAAAACGCAGACATGCTCACATAGACATACGTTCACACACAAGGATACTCTCTGTCAGACACACTCTCAGGCACATACACAGGTAAACTGTGCATCAATGTGTATATGTGACACTTTTTTGTTAGTGGGGCCTCATGTTTGAGTTTCGCCTAAGGCCTCATAAAGTCTAGAGCCGCCTCTGATACTACGTAGGGACCTTACCACTAATGGAATTAGACAAGGCAGGAAAAGACATAAGAATATGATAAACATTACTCCTCCTACTAATGTCTTAATTCCTCCAAGCTGCTCATACCAGCTTCCAAACCAACTATTAGGATTATACCCATTCCAGACCTGAGTCGGAACATGCACAAGTTTAACCATGTGACTAGTGAGTTCAGCCACTGCCTGACCTTCATCATCTATATGCAAACAACAGTTGCTAAGGTTAAACTTTCCGCATACACCTCCTTCCACTGCTAATAGATAATCTAAAGCTAATCTATTTTAATAGATGGCTGATCTCATCCTGGTATTTTGCTTAGCTAGAAGATTAAGCGCTTGAGCTGTCTCATTAGTAATAATCTTGTAGAATATTGCATATTCTATGTTTCTATTGATTATATATATGGATGTGTGGATTGACATAAGTAACAGATGGTATCAATAAGTCACAAGGCTTTCTTTGTCCGAGAGCTCTGGAATGTGGATTCGGGGGTCTTGTCCTTATATGGCTAGAGGTAAACGCTGACGTTAGTATGAACACTTCTATATAGTAACAGAGGGACACGAGGTCTCTCTCTCTTGGCTTGAGTCTTGGCTCTGTACAACGATGTAACTCTCCCATCAGAAGTACAGCAATTACCATCTGCTGTTGAATGTCCATTATCCTGTAACATCATTTATTATGTTTTATTATGTATCCGTAACAAAGAATAAACCTGAAGAAACCGTAAGTCAGATTGCGTATTACTACTTTTCAATAATATAGACATATATTATTGTAGTGAGCATTTGGCCCAAGAATATATATACAAAAGACGTATATATATCAATCAACTGAAGACAAGAAGAAATTAAGAAGATTCAACATTATCACCGTTCCAAATTACATTTTACATTGGCCAGCCAGCCAGTCTTCTATTCAAGTTTTGGAGGGGGGAGAGAGAAGAATCGAGTTACAAAGCTATTTTGGAACTGGGAAAACAAACTTGAAGAGAAAAAAAAGAATCTAGACTGACTGTCATAGAAGAACTGTGGTTTGTAAGAAAAAGAAAGTTTTCAAATCACAAAGACTGTACAAGACTATTTTCTACAACTGAGACAAAAAGCACAAGATACAACGTGAATTCTAGAAGCAAGCACGTGGCAGACATTGGCAAGCGTCCAGTATCAAGCAAAAGAACTGCGCAGCTGTGTGGATGAAACAACGAATTAGACAGAAATAACTGATCTGGTGAGTAACATGGAATTCATAAATGATATTGCAGAGAAAAGTAAATTGCAGTTTGCATGTAATAGCAGCTATTCAGATGCTGTATTGTGGCAATCTTTATACACACAATGTGAAATTGCCAATAGTAAAATTGACAAGAAATTGTTTGTTAATAAGAAAAAACAAAAGATCAGAAATGTTATGAAACTAGTCTGTACTTACAATGCATTGATTTGTAAACAAAATGCAGGTCAAGAAAATTTAGAATCAGCAGATAAAGAAATAGATTTGAATGGGTTAACAGAAGACAAATCAGATTTAAATGAACAGTGTAACAATGTAACAGAGAGCACATTGTCAGAAACAGTCTGTGAATTAGAGGATAGAGTTGAACTAAGAAATGATTTTTTTTGCCAGCTTAGAAATGAAGTAAAGCAAGTGTGTGTTAATACAAGAAAAATACAGGCACAGAATCTAATCACAGAACCAATAGATACTGAAAATGTATCCTCACAGAGTGATTTGCAGAAATGTAAATTTCAAGACAGAACTGCAAAACTTAATTTGAAAATCCATGGACAATTAATAAAAATTGTGAAATGTATTCCAGTTTATGACACGTCAGTGGATGCATTTACTAATGCTGAAATGTTTGAGTCAAATGTGGACAAATACAGCCTAAATGACGAACAAAGGAATAGACTATTTAAAATATGGCTGCCAACATACATTGCACGTAGATTGACTCCACCCATAAGTACCCCTAATGACGAAGATGATGAAATAATATATGGAAATAAGCAAGACAGATTAACACAATTAATAAAATTAACAACAGGGAATGATTTTGCAGACACTGAAATGTTGGAAAAACTAAAACCACACAAGGAGGAGGCTATATTTAGTTTTCTTGTAAAATTTGAAAGTGCATATAGACTTGTTGCTAATTTTCCTGAGAAACAGTTAATTAATGAATTTGTGAAAAAATTTCAAGATCTAGATCCAACTGCAATTGTAATTGCTAGAGAAAAAAGGACTTTGAATGAAGTTGCTATGTTCTTGGATAACTTAAGGAGGGTAACCAATAATGAAAGGGGTTAAAATGACTTGTGGAATTAGGCAGAGAAAGAAGTGCAGATTTTACACCCCTCGTCCCCCTCCTCCTTCTTCTTCTAGGACAGAGTGTAAAAGAGTGATACAGACAGCTGAGCCACTCCCAATTTGTTCAAATCAAAGGCAGAATATAACTCCTAAAATTATTTGTTTTTGGTGCAATAAACAACATTATTTAAGATCTTGCAGATATTTTATCCGAGATATCAAATCAAAAGCAAATGAGAAATTAAGTGTGTTGATTGAAAATTTTGACAGAGAAAATACATGTAGTCAGTGGCGTACACATGACCCATGGGGCCCCGGTGCGAAAATTGATCCGTGGCCCCCTTCCCCCCCCCACCCGCACGCTTACTCGGCGCGGGTTGGGGCCGCAACACATGGCGGGGGGGGAACCTGGTCGCAGGGGTTGCAGGGCTGCAACCCCGCGACCGCGGTATGCACACACACTTAAAGGACCACTACAGACACCCAGATCACATCAGCTCAATGAAGTGGTCTGGGTGCCAGGTCCCTCTAGTTTTAACCCTGCAGCTGAAAACATAGCAGTTTCAGAGAAACAGCTATGTTTCACTGAGGGTTAATCCAGCCTCTGGTGGCTGTCTCATTGACAGCTGCTAGAGGAGCTTCCGCAATTCTCACTTTGAAAATCACAGTGAGAAGACACTGAACGTCCATAGGAAAGCATTGAGTAATGCTTTCCTATGGGCGGTTTAAATGCGCGCACGCGCCTCTTGCCGCGCATGTGCATTCAGAGCTGAGAGGCGGAGGGATCCCCAGCGCCAAGGGAGTCCGACGCTGGAGAAAGGTAAATGCTGAAGACAAACACACACTGTCACGAACAGACGCATACACACTAGTTAACAGACGCACACATTTACTGACAGAGACACACTCAGCGACAGACATACATACACACTCACTTACAAAACATACACTTTCACTGACAAACACACTCACTAACAGACACACACAGTAACACACTCACCAGCAGACACACACCCAATAACAGACACACTCACTGACACACACACTAACACACACACACTAACAAACACACACACACAAACACTAACACATACACACTAACACACACACACTAACACACACTAACACACACACACACACTAACACACTAACACACATACTAACACACACACACTAACACAAACACACACACTAACACTAACACACTAACACACTAACACAAACACACACTAACACTAACACACACACTAACACACACACACACACACACTAACACACACACTAACACACACACACTAACACACACTAACACACACACACTAACACACAAACACTAACACAAACACACACACACACTAACACACACACACACTAACATACACACACACATACACTAACACACACACTAACACACACACATACTAACACACACACACTAACACACTAACACACATACTAACACACACACACACACTAACACACACACACTAACACACACAAACACACACTCACACAGTCACACACATGTTTTTTTTTTAAATTTAATCCCCCCAGCCTCCTTACCTTGTGGAGTGCTGGGGGGATTCCCTGGGGTCCAGTGGTGCTGCTGGGCTCCTGGGTGGCCGGCGCGAGGGAGCACTCTGCTCTGAGTGCTTCCTCTTCAGCTCCCTCGCGCGCCGCATAGGGATGCCGGAGCCGGAAGATGACGTCATCTTCCGGCTCTGGCATCCCAGTGCGGCGCGCGAGGGAGCTGAAGAGGAAGCACTCAGAGCAGAGTGCTCCCTCGCGCGCCCTCCCGCCTGCCAGCCCGGTGACAGCAGGGCCAGCCGCGACCCCTGCGACCCTGGTATGTACGCCACTGCATGTAGTGATAAATCAATTAAAGCCTTTCCTTGTAAACTGATAATCAGACAAATAAAAGCAATTTTAGCTAAATCAAAATTAGGAGACAGACAAGCAATGCAGTGTAACACAGAAAGTTATAAGAAATCAGATAACTTCAAGAGATATGATCAGTTTAGGGAATGAGCATGGATATGTGTGCCAACAGATGTACACAGGCTGATTCCAGAATTAAGAACAGCCAAGAATAGAGATCTATGTTAGTTTGTTGTTTTAATGAATTGTTAGTCTGTATTGTTTTTCATTGTTTTTATGTGTGTTATAAGAAAGTATTAGGTTAATTAATTAAAATAAAAATTTACATCAAGTTTGCAAATATGGCAGAATGAAATACACTAATGTAGCAGTTAGGAACATGCAATGTTATATTGGGTGTATGCAATTATACAGTAACTCCAATCATTTTACAGAAGAAAAAACAATGTTGTTACTTCTGAGGTTGATTTAAAATCTTTGCTTTAATTCATGAGAATGAGATTTTAATGTCATGACTGATAATGGATTACTATATTTTGCAAAGCCTGGACATATATATGTTTTGACTACATAGAAGACAAAAGTTTTGATAGAATAAAACCTAGATTTACAAATACATTTAATGAAGGAAACAATATATGTTTTTGTAGTTTGTTTCATGTGACAAAATGGTGCCAGTGTTCAGACAAAATGGCTACTATTGCTAAAGTATAGTGGAAAACAATATTTTGTTGTAACATCTTATATGTGATTAGGTTATACCTCCAGATTATTAAACAGTTTAAAGGGGGGTATGATTAATAAGGTATGATTAATAAAACGTTTGAGAATTGAAAATTAAAATGTTCAGAAAGATTTTAATATAAAGGAAATTTAAAGATTATACATCACATGGCATAAATGCAATGACCACTTGATGGTAGATCTCATGAGAAGAAATGAGAATGTTGTGTAGTCAATATAATTCAATGTTAAACTGTATAATAATAATAATGAGATATAAACATTGTAAGCCATTGTATTGATGCTGCACATGTTTTTGTTTTAATGTAGGTAAAGCGTGACAGATCCATGTGGCAATAAATCAGGAAAGCATTCCTTTAGACAACTGGACATCGACTGTTGGAAAGAGACTTTTCATCTGATCGGCAAACTGTGATGGAAGATTCTACAGAGTTCATTCGATTCAGAAGATTAACAGACTTACAAAGAAATAAAAGATTGACACTAACATAAATATATATTCCTAAATATTAATGAAGAAGAAAACAGACAATGAAAAGTTATTGAACAGTTATGAGTATTAATACCAAGAGACTACTTATAACTATATAACACATGGAGTAAAATTATGATAGGATAGTATTATGAAGAGAACTATTACATTATGACCTATACATAGGAGGAGAAGTATCAGAGGTAGATAAAATATGAAGTTGATAAAATAAGGATCATGGTTACTTAATTCTACAAAGATTGAGTTCAATAGTATTTCATAGATTCACAAGAATGAGTAATTTGTTTATATCGAGGTGAAGTAAAATAAACAATGGTAACATAAGGAAGAAAACTAAGGAAGAATAATTTATATTGATTTATATTAAGTAATTATATACATTAAGAATGCCTTGGATATAAGAGTTCAGAGATCCAAGAGATATTGAATTGAATGGAAAGAGTATAGTACACAATTATATTTGACCAAAGTCTATAAAGGTATGATATAACACACAAAGAAATAGGTGGAGCAAATGGTGATAATGAATAAAAATATACTTCTCTCTCTTCTAACTTTTAGCTGTAAGAGATAGAGAGGTACAAAATAGTGCAAATATTGCTATACACAAAATCTTAATAAGATATGTATCATATACACTCACAATGGGAGAGCCATATAGTGCAACCTGGCTCTGGTGTGGATTTCCTTTGGGATCTTAATTGGGTGATCCCCAGACCTCTTTGATGCTTGTTGTGGTAAGTCTTCCCTCAGTGATGAACAATGGAAGGATAGTATATTCCAAAACCAAAATATTTATTCAAAAAAATATTAAAATAAAAGATGAATAAAGACGGGTAAAAGTAATACAATAAATAAAACCTTTTAGTGTCCAATATGCTTGCCAAAACGCGTTTCGCCAGTGTGGCTTCCTCAGTTGGCATACAGTAGTAGTGTCCTCTTAATCCTTTAAATACTCTCAAAGTTCGCGGTCAAACTTCTGGTGGAACGCATATGCGTTCCACCTTCTACTTCCGGGTTCCGTCCCCTTTGTAGCATCTGCGTCACTTCCGGTTTCGGCAACAGTTCAGTATGTTCGGTGGAACGCACCCATGCGTTCCACCGTTGATTTCCTAGTTTCGTGACGTCATTTCCGGTTTTGCCGAACACATACAGGCATACATCTTTTCTTTTTTTTTTTTCAATTTGACAATTTTTATTTTCCATATAGAAAAAAGGGGGGGGGGGAAGGGATACAAAAATTAATGGGGGGTGGGGATGAATGGGGCAGGGTGGAATAACGAAGGTTCCACTCATGACATTATACTTTATACAACATTTTCACTTTATACAATACACAGGTTATTAGTATTTATAATCATGACTACAACCTTGTCCGGCCTTTCTGTATAACCAGCTTATTGTTTTGGCTCTTTAACATGTATCTCCAGATGCCGGTCTGGCTGAGGTTACCTGGTATACCTTTAGTGTTTCAAAGGTGGGGGTGGGAATCACAGACGCCAAATGTGGGGTATGATGGAGTGGGGTTAGTTGGTACCGTGTGTATTTCCAACGGTCATTATATCCCACTTTACTTAGTACAGCCGTAGTTTGGATAGTTTAAACAGTGTCGGCAGGGCACTGTCTATGCACCTCAGCCCGGAGGTGTCCACATGTTTACCAGCCTGTCCTGCGCTCGTTGTCGTGCCTTTTTACCGTGTGGCCTATGTCAATGAGTTGGACAGAAGGAGGTGGTGGAGGGGAGTGGGGGGGTCCAGGTGCTCACCCGGGGGGGGAGGGGTATGAGGGGAGTTAGCTTAAATATATACACTGGTGGGTTGTTTGTCTCGTCTGTATGTGGTACATCTACCTGGTTTCTTTTGAGAAGGGTTCGCTGTACCTGTTTGATCTCTCATCACCGGCCTCTTTCCACTGTTTCCCGGGGTATACCCTCTCAGATTGCGTTGGTGAGGCTAAAGAATCTTACTCATCCCCAGTTGTTTGGGACTTCACCTTGTTCCAGTATTGTTCCCAAATTTTCCCCGCCTCCATAGTTGCTACTCCCGTCCCCAATTGTTGGGCCGCCATGCGTTCATATTCCCAATTCTTTTGGATCTGGTTAACTAGCTCAGCTTTTGTGGGAATGTTCCGTGATTTCCAGTTTTTTGCTATTAGGTTACATGCTGCTATCAGCGTGTGGAATAGGAGTTTGGAGTGGACCTTGGTCAGGCCTTCTGGCCATATGTATAAGAGGCATGTAGCCGGGGTCAGGGTCATCTTTGCAGGAAGCAGTTGGTCCACGATGGTGCTCACCATGGCCCAGTAAGGTTGCACGTCTTTACACGTCCACCAAATATGTATTAGTGAGCCTGTGTCTAGCTGGCATCTCCAGCACTGAGTAGACACATTCGGGAACATGTGTGCTAGCCGTGTGGGGACCAAATACCACCTGTATTGCAGTTTTCTCACTTGTTCAAAGTGTGTAATGCAGGCTGTGTTGCCCTTGTGGATTGTGAAGGCTCTGGACCATTGGGCCTCCGTGAAGGTGCTGCCAAGGTCTTTGTGCCATGCCTGTATAAAGTTGTCTGTGGATGCGTGAGTGCCCTCAAGCAATGTGTTATATATTTTTGAAATGCTTCGTCTGTGTGGCTTGCCCGTGAGGCACCACGTGTCAAAGTTTGAGATCATGGGTGTCGTAGGTGGAGTCTTGGGTTGCCGTAGGGTGGACTTGAGCTGCAAGTATGAGAAAATTGCTTTACTCGGTAGGTTGTACTGTGTTTGTAGGTCCGGGAACTGTTTTAGGGATGTACCCTTGTATAAGTCGTGTATGTGTGTACACCCTGCATCCGTCCAAGTCCGGTAGTCAAATGTTTTGTTTCTCAGGTGGATACTATACATTGTCGATGCTAGCGATGTGGTTCCTGAGCCACTGAGGTGCGTTCTATGTGTGTCCCAGGTATGCAGCATTAGTTTGGTGGTCTCTAGCATGTTCGGTGTTGTTGGCCTTAGGTGTTTTGGCACCCAAAACAAGTGGTGCATCCCTGCTCTACATGTCCATTGGGATTCAATGGCTACCCATTGTGGTGGGTTAGCTGCCCTGTGTGTCGTGGCTAGCGCTGCTAGAATGGCCGCCTTGTAGTACAGTTTGACATCTGGGAAGCTCATACCCCCCCTCTCCGTTGTTCTTTTTATTGTAGAGTATGCCACTCTGGGTGTTTTGTTCGCCCACACGAATCTCGTGATGATTTTTTGTAGTTTGACCATATATTGCCTAGGTATAGGGATTTGCAGCGTGCGGAATAGGTATTGTAATTTTGGCAACAGTGTCATTTTAAATGCCGCTATGCGCCCATGCCACGAATGGAAGTCACTGTTCCACTGGTCTAACGTCTGAGAGATTTCCTGCAGGAGTTTCTCATAATTATATTTAAACATTTGGCCGCTCGTCTTGGCTAGCTTAATCCCCAGGAATGTGATATAGTCTTCCCTCCAGTCAAAGGTGAAGGAGTTCGTCAGTGTTTGTAAAGTATGTTCTGGCAGATGGATTCCCATTGCTTGTGTTTTTGTGAGATTTAATTTGTAGTAGGATACTTTGTTATATTCTCGTATGCACTGTAGTAAATTCGGTAGGGATATTATTGGTTGTGTCAACGTCAGGAGTATGTCGTCTGCGAATAGATTAAGGGTGTACCCCCTGTCCCCCACTTGGACCCCATGTATATCAGGGTGGGCTCTGATCACTGCAGCCAGCGGCTCCAGTGCCAGTACATATAGCAGGGGGGACAGGGGGCACCCCTGTCTTGTTCCATTGGTAATGGTTATCTTTTTTGACACAAAACCCGAATTAAGTACTTGGGCTCTTGGTGCCGAATACAGTGCCCTGACCACTGAAACAAACCCCTCCGGCATCCCGTACCTCCTCAGGGCCGCCTGCAGGAATCCCCACCCCAGTCGGTCAAAGGCTTTTTCTGCGTCCAGTGAGAGCAGAACCCCCCCCTTCCCGTTTCACCCCTAAGCTTTGCATGAGGTCGAGGACTTTTCTGGTGTTGTCTGCCCCCTGGCGCCCCGTCACAAATCCCACTTGGTCATCGTGTATGATGTGTGGTAATATCGGGCTTAGCCTCATAGCGAACAGTTTCGCCAGTAGTTTAGTGTCAGTATTAAGGAGGGATATGGGTCTGAAATTTTGTGGGTAATTTGGGGGTTTGCCAGGCTTGGGCAAAGTGATAATGTGGGCGAGCTGCATTTCCTCCGGTAGGGTTTGTGTTCGCACGGCCTCATTGAAAACTTCTGCTAGGCATGGTGCCAATATATCTCTAAATTTGCTATAGTAAGAGTTGGCAAATCCATCAGGGCCCGGGGCCTTACCCCTTGGTAGCGACTTTATGGTGTCTCCTACCTCCTCAGGGGTGACTGGTCGGGTAAGGGTGTCCTTCTGTTGGGCTGTCAAAGTCGGGAGGTTGATTTTGTTTAGGTATGTCTCTATCTCGGCCGTTGTCGGTGTGGGTATGGTTGCATCGTTGCTAAGATTGTACAGGTCCCCATAGTATTGTGCGAACTCATCGCTAATAGTGAGCGGCGACATAGCTTTCCCCCCTGCTTTCGTGTGTAGGTACGCTATTTTCTGTGACTGTTGTCGCTTTTTTAACCTTGCTGCCAGTAGTTTACTCGCTCTATTCCCCTGGGCGTAGTGTGAGGCTTTCAATTTCAATAAGTTGTGTCCTACCTTAGTTAGCGCATGTTGGCGAAGTTGCTGGCGCACTAGGGCTATTTGTTCTTTTAGCTGTTGTGTGGGGCGGAGTTGATTTTGTATCGTCAGTGTGTAAATGTCTTTTTGCCACTTCGTCACTTGTGTCTGTGTCTTCCTTTTGATGTATGATGCTTGTTTTATAAGGAGTCCACGGGCAACTGCCTTATGTGCTTGCCAAATTGTGTGGTGTTGTAAGTCGGGATTGGCATTGTCTGTAAAATAGGTTTGTAGGGACTCTGCTAGCGTTCCCGAGAAGGTTTTGTCTGTCAGGAGGGTCTCGTTAAGCCGCCAGGGGCTCCTATGTTTGAAGTCATAAGTGTCCCTCAAGATTAGTTCTATAGGGGCATGGTCAGACCACACTATCTGTCCCACCCGACAGTCCACTACCTGCCCTAGTGTGGTTCCCTCCACTAGGATCGCGTCGATTCTCGAGTATGTATTATGAACCTGCGAGTGGTGGGTGTACTCTTTGTCTTCTGTGTGCGTGACTCTCCATGCATCATAGTAGTGATGCATTGACAGTAATTTGGTCAGGGCCGCGCTTTGGCGCTTAAGTGATTTATATCGCGGGCTGGTTCGGGAGAGAGTAGTGTCTACAGCTGGGTTTAG